AAATGTTTGGGACAATCTTTCAAGGTCAAAGGGGGGGGGTTAGGGGTGTTCTTTTCACTAAGAGACCTTCCTGAGTTTAAGTTGTCTGCATTTGGGGTGCCAACGACAGGATTTGGGTGGATTGTGTATGAAATTGTGTGGTGAACCACGATATAGGGCTTAAATGCTCCTTTTTAAAATGTGTTGCTATTTGTACCCTGTTTCCTCAGAAATAAGACCTCCCCAGATAATAAGCCCAATTGGGCTTTTGAGCGCATGCATTAAAATAAGCCCACCCCAAAAAATATTGCAACACAGCAACAGCCATGCGGTGACCACGCTCGCCTCCTCCTGTACCTCAAAAATACTAAGACCTCCCTGAAAATAAGGCCAAGCGCTTATTGGGGGTCAAAAGAAAATAAGACCCTGTCTTATTTTCGGGGAAACATGGTAAGAATTGAGTGAAAGAAATACAGGTTCACTGGCTCATTTAGAGATGCCCACTTTAAATTAAAGTTGTATTAGGTTTCACCAACTCTCATACTGCCCACAGATGAGGATATAGAAATTCTGTAAGACGGTGTTTTTCTCTATTATTTTCCAACTGATATTATTGTTACAGGGGAAAACCTTACTTTGACGATTGCTATGGTTTTATCATTAATCTATTTGGCTTTTTTTAAAAATAGCCAAGAAAAGAAACACTTCCGCCTATCAGTTCCACTGAAAACGCAAGCATATATAGAATTTTCTACTGTTGCACTTGAGCCACTATAAGAAGCAATCTCATTAAATAAAAATCTTATTTAATTGAAGTGACATTAGTACATGTGATCACACTTAAAGCAAAGAGACAATGAAATTAATTTTTACACAAATGGAAGTTTTGATGTACCATAAAGCATTTCATAAGCAGGGAGTTTCACAAAGCATCATAAAAGATAAATTGGAGGGGTTTTTTTGGGGGGGGGTCCTGTATTCAATTAGAAAGACCTTGGAGGGGCAGCCAAGACAAATAAAGAGCACTGCACAAAAAGGATTCATAAAGAAAGAATCCAAAGAATTATTCACAATAATTATATTCACCATACCTTAGGGGGATTAAAAGGATACGTTTCTGGAATTTTTATTTCTAATTGATATCTTCCTCCTATAAAAACCAGAACATATAACCACTAAATACTTATCAGACATTAATTGATCACAGCAATGAACTTTCCTTTAAGTTAAATAATAAACAATAAGATTTTAAAAGTTTGCTTTGGTTCTAAGGCAGGATGGACACCTTTTCTAATGTAGCTGGAAATTGTATTGCTAGCCTTCCAGCATGTTTACCTCTACCATTGTAAGTATTACACAGAGATTACTCAGTTTGCAAACCCCTTGAGGTCGAAATCCTTCAGTGCATCATCTATAATACCACAGTAATTGTTCTTATTTCTTCCTGTTGCCTTTTTTCTCCCCCGAGAAAAGCTCTTGGCATATGGGCACAATTTACTAAAAGCTGTAATAAAATCCTCCATTTGAATTAAATGAAGGTGAGCTATTCCAATATTCCAGTGACAATTTAACAAGGAGCAAACACAAATGTAGATGTAAACTTATGATGCCAAAACACTAGTTCAGTGTTTCTCAACCTTGGCAACTTGAAGATGTCCGGACTTCAACTCCCAGAGTTCCCCAGCCAGCATTCGCTGGCTGGGGAATTCTGAGAGTTGAAGTCCGGACATCTTCAAGTTGCCAAGGTTGAGAAACACTGCACTAGTTCCACTCTCCCCCCCCCCCAAAAAAAGTGTCAAGGACAATCAATTAAGACTAGCAAATCTCCAAGGATAGATGGAAAAGATTGAAGACTGTTGGGATAAGATCTTGAGAACAGGAAATGTCCAACCTTGGCAACTTTTTTAAGATCGGTGGATTTCCACTCCCCAAATTCTCCAATCAACCGTGCTTAAAATTGCCAAGGTCAGTGAAGGAGAAGACTTGAAGGAGAAGGACGTTGAAGAACGTTCTTTCCCAACAAAAACAAAGCATTTAATTTGACGTGTCTTCCTTAGACGAAGACCTGCTCACAGTTTTATCCGGTAAACCGGCTACTTAAAAACGAGGCAGAGAGGACCACGATGGTGGCCATCCATCCAAACATGATTCATTTCGCTTCAGCCAAAATAGTACTCCTGAGAAGGAGGCTGTGTCTGAGTCATCGTTCCTGAGGCTATCCATAAAACAAAGTAAAAGCTATGCAGACTGACAGTCTGACAAAGGCCAGGAGAGAAAGAACACATAAAGGGGGGTGGGGGACAACCACAGATCATGAGTGACTTCTCTGAAAAGAAAGGAACCCAACAGGAACATTGTGGCGGTGTTTCTTGAATAATGTCTACTTTCTTGAGTAGACATTCAACCTCTCACTATTTAGTCTAAGTTCAGAGGTTTTCTAGCTGGAGCCATGATCAAGCACGCAGCCCTCTACAGAAACCACCAAAAAGATGCGGGGGGGGGAAAGAATCTTTTTTTTTTTTTTAAGGAAACTAATCAAGGAGCGAAGCAACCTAGAACTAAGGAGAAATTTCCTGACAGTGAGAACAATTAATCAGTGGAACAGAAGATGTAAATGCTCCAACATTGGAGGTATTTTAAGATGTTGGATAACCATTTGTCTGAAGTGGTGCAGGGTTTCCTGCCTAAGTAGGGGGGTTGAAGACCTCCAAGATCCCTTCCAACTCTGTTATTCTAATTGAATGGGGATTTCATTATTTTTAAAGAAGAAGAAAAAAAACTACTTTAGGATCCTCCCAAGGAACACCATGAAACAACTATATATCAAAAGGAGCGACACCAATGAAAAGAGCTCTCCACAAGTATTTGCTAACTATTTTAAATGAACATCCCTTTAAATCAGGGGTGGTGAATGTCGGTGACTCCTTGATGACTTGTGGACTTCAACTCCCAGAATCCCTGAGCCAGCCATTCTGGGAGTTGAAGCCCACAAGTTGTAAAAGGGACATTGGTTCCCCACCTAACGAAGAAAGAAGCATTGTCATGTTTCTGTTTCCCTTTCAAACAAAGTGTTTTTATCCCCCTCAAGGTACGAACTGCATTGACTCCAGTTCCAAGCATTCGTCTTTTATATTTTGTTTTAGGGACAACTTTTCACTAAGGAAACTATTTGCTTCATACCAGCGGAAAGAGACAGATCTGAAGGCACTTAAAACTATTCACATGTCAACAGAATACCCACCAGCTGCTTGGAATTTTGTTGCTAAGCTGAGTCAGGGAAGAGAAGGTGAGAAGAGAAAAAAAAATGAATTGAAAAAACTGTCCAACAGTTACATTTCCAGTGCAAAATCTCAACCTCTAGAGAGTGGATTCCCCCAAATGGCAGCTCCTAGTGCAAACCATTTGTGGGTGCTACCTGGCGTGGAAATTTGGGAAGGGGGGGGTGTACAAATTGAGAGTTCTCTAGAAGCAGGGACTAATATTCAGAATTCTATCCGTATTCAGGGAATTGCTAAGAATTCTCATGATTGAAATATACGTAACTTGAGGAAGCCCAGGTAACTGGTTTACGGAAACAGAATACCAAATTTATATTTTTGCCTGTTTTATTAATGTAAAATGTAATCTTTCAGCAATTATTTCATTGTGCAAATATTGGCCAGGAATAACGACTGAAAGCTGTTTTAAATATTTAAGATGTTTTGAATGGTAAATTAAGCCAAACTTACACACACACACAGAGAGAAACACAAAACCCAGACCATAAGAACGGCGAGAGTTACAGAATAGCTTGAGTACTATAAACCACAATGCAACTTTTAGTTATCCTGCACAAATCATTAAATTTAGGGGTAAATTACAATATTTATATTTGCAACATATTTGCAAAACGGTATTTTGCAAAGGACTTCCAAAATGAGACAGATTGCACTTACGAGCTTTAACAACAAGATTAGAAAATCTTAGACTGGCAGAAAAAAATTACTTACCTTCATATGGTGTGTCTGGAGGCCCTGCTATTTCTCCTCTTAGTTCTGTAAAATTTTCATCTACAAGATCTACTTTAATTTGATTTTTGTTCGTCTGAAAAATAAAACAGAAAAAAACAAAACAAAAAACCAGTTTAGAGGCTTACTATTCATTGTATTCTTTGTTGGTTGGTTTACTTAAATTTAGAGAGATGAATTTGCCATTTAAAATTGGTTTTAATAATTGTGTTTTAATTTCAAAATTGAGCCCAATCTTTTCAGTTCTCTTCACATTGATTAAATACTCAATTCCAGTTGACACACTAGAACAAATTCAACAGAAATCCTTCTAGGAAATACTAGAAAACAGCACGGGAAACCCAAAGCTGTATAAACCACATGGGTTGCTACTGCTAGCAATTTCCAGCCTCAGCTTTTGATACGGGGAGCATCCACCTGCTTCTCATTTTCACAGTAGTCAAGCCATGATTTCCTTGACCCCTGATCAATCAATAATAGATATCTCTAATTTCTATAATTGCACTAACAGTCTATACCAGGGGTGTCACACTAAATGTCATTCAGGGCCGCATCAGGGTTGTGTTTGACTTGGGGGATGTGTGAGGGGGGCATGGCCAGCTCGATGTCACTCATGTCGGGGGCACCTCTGGTGGCCTGCGCACTCTGCCAACGAAAATGGGCTCCCGAGCTCCGTTTTCACTGGCAGAAGCCCCCCTTGCCAGTCCTTCACTATTCCCAGGGTGGCCCCGTGGGCCAGATCCGGCCCCCCGGGATTTGAGTTTGAAGCCCCTGGTCTATGACTTTGTGATTTCAGTATCAGACCAAAGCTATAACCCTACCACTGTACACAATCACTGGAATTCAATAAGGATATTTAAAATAATATACAGGTAATACTTGACTTACGACAGTTCCTTTAGAGAACGTTTGAACTTACAATACCACTGAAAAAGGCGACCTATGACTGTTCTTCACACTGAGACTGTGGCAGCATCCCTGTCAAATCACAGCAATCACATGGCCAGTGTGTGACTGTTGAAAGTTTAAATCTGGGTTGGAAATCTCTCTTACTGGATCCCTCATAACTTCCAACTGTCACTAAGCATGCAGCCATAAGAGAAGGAATATCATGCACTCCATCAACTAGCCAGTGTCGACTGTCCACCCCCCCGGGGGAGGGCCTTCTCTGTGGCCGCTCCGGCCCTCTGGAACGATCTCCCCGTGGAGATTCGGACCCTCACTACCCTTCAGGCTTTCTGTAAAGCCGTTAAGAGCTGGCTGTTCCAGCAGGCCTGGGGCTGATGAGTTCCCAGCCCCACTCGAATGGTTGTGGCTGTTGAGAAGTTTTTAATTTGTTTCTTTGTACTTGTTTTGNAGATGAAGGGAACAGCTAAGGAACAAGGGTTGACTTGGGACTCAGGCCTCAGATGGATGGTCCCTCCACGAGGAAATAAGAGAGGGGTGAAAGAGTTAAATTTGCAGGAGACAATTAGTTCGCTTAATTGGTTCGTGACTCTCCGAGACTCCTTACCAAGTTTTGCAGATATCAGCCTGGCAGCTCTCCAAACCAGATAAGGTCTATGACTGTAAATCCTCCCTTGAAAGATTTTACTGGATGTGAAGGAGCAGAATTCACAGGAAATAAAACATTTTTTTTGTCGGAACAAGGAATTTGTTCTTGGGAAGCCTCGGTCAGAAGAAAAATGATGGGTTCCAAGACACTCAGTGAGCTTCCATGGCTGGAGGTGAACCAGGATCCTAGTTCTTCACGATTCTGGTCTTAACGGTTTAACCATTACAACTCACTTCTGTCTAGATTCCTCGAGTCAAAATGGTTCTCTTGGCTAAGATTTCCTCCAAAGACGAGCTGTTCAAACAGAACAACAGCGAAAGGAGCACGAGGGGAAAGCCAGAAAGATACCGAGGAGCAGTTTTGGTGCTTGGCCATCTGTAGAGCTGAGGTTCTTCCATCAACCACTTGAGAGGTCTCACCTGCTCTACTTCCTGCGGGACCCTTAAGGGTTGGCCGACGGCATCCTTCACTTTCATTTACTGTCCATATCCTATTTGGCAACTGAGCCTGGGCATTTGGAGACATTATACCCTCTGTGAGGGACCCCACGAGCTAAAAAAAAACCCCAATCCTACCAGGGAAATCGCAAGAAACGAAGAGCAGGGATTCAAGTCTCCCGTCCCTACCCCTGCGCACTCTTTTCTCATGCCAGGGTTGATCTCTATGGTGCTGTAACACCTCCAGGGGCCTCTCTGCACACACCTGCTCCTTAACCAAGAGTGAGAATTTCAAGGGCTCAGAGCATCTCCTCAGCCAAGGTCATCACAGTAGGAACAAAGTTTCTGCAGCTCTCTAAAGTATAGGTCCCGTTACATTTGTCCTCTTGCTGGCCAGGCTTTCAAGTCTACCTTCATCCCCCTGCAGCTCCTGCCGATACCTGGCCACCCCATCGTAGTCTTCTCCGATGCCTGCTACCTTTGCTCTAGCAACAGACTTTATGTAGGGGTCTGCATGGGGTGAGGAGTACGAGAGGTTGGCCACTTTCTGTAGCCTCACTTACACACACGCACACTCCTCCTGTGTCATTCCTGCCCTATATACCATTCTTGCTCTGCTACACCTGCGCTACGCAGCTGCAATTGCAGAAGTTGATGTTTCGTTGCAAGGCCATTGAGTCCCTTCTCAAACAACCTGTGGCTGCTAAGTCAGGCGGGTCGTAAGAACCGCGGCTGGGCCAAAGCAGCCTTATCTATCTGCATTTAAAATGATAAAAGTAGGAGCCAAAGCGCCTTTTCCAAAAACAAGGATGCTGCATCCTGCGTCCCGTTTGCGAAAGTTTACTCGCGCTGCAGCCTATTCCTTTCATTTACTCTCCGCCGTTCCCCAAACAAAAGGAGGAAAATGCTGCATTCATAGAAATCCGACCGCCAACAACAAAATTAACACTAAATGCTGCTGAAAAAACACAAGCCTCCGATTACGATCAGCTGGTATGGGGAATCTTTTGTCACACTCGGTCGTGTACGGTACTTCACCCCTTAAATGGGACCTTGTAATAGGGAAAGAGCGTGCCTCCAGTAGGAACTTTTGGAAAGTGCTTCCATGCGATGTGCGTTTTTGCACTTTGCTTGAGGTCTCTGGGAAAAAGGCTCCCTTCTGAATGACTAACTGATCCCAGCCCTCTTCTGAAAAACACCCCAAACCAAAGCTGGACTAGCTCAGGGTTCGGGTTCTGTGCAGGAGAAATTACGCCAATGTTGTTGGGAGGGAGTGCATTATGCAGCAGCTCCTTTAACCGCACACGTACATCAAAAAGGTTGCTCGATTGATGCTTCATAATATTTATTTTCCAAAAAGAAAACGAAAACCCTGAAAACTTAGCCAATGTTAATCATTTCCAAGTCATTGCTATCTGTGATTAGATAATCCCGACAGAATTTTAACCTGTTCAGCTCAATTGCCTTCCAAAGCCAACCTAAGTATCTAGTCCCTCGCACTGCCAGTTATGATCAGTCTTGATTAAACATGAATATAGGCCAATATGGTTCTTCCTTTCTCCATAAATCTCTTCCTTTAATCGGGGTTGAAGCACTAGCCAAGAGTAGTACTTCTAGGGATTCCATATACATTGGCTCCCCATCGGCCGAGGTTCACTCTCTTTTGTAGAAATTTATTAAAGTTCAGGCGAAATTATCACTCTGAGCAAGGAACCCCTGAACAGGGATGTACAGCTAGCCCTCGACTTAGTTCTTGGTTCTCGACTAAGGACCGCAATTGAGCCCAACACTTCTGTTTTTAGGTAAGACCTTTGTTAAGTGAGGTTTGCCCCATTTTACGACCTTTCTTGCCACAGTTAAGTGCATCACCACGTGATTGATAAGTTAGTAACACGATTGTTAAAAAGAATTGACTTGGCTTGTCACAAGGTTGCAAAAGAGGGCCACATGGGGATGCTATAAAGGTCGTAAATCTGAAAAATTGTAATAAGTCCCATTTTCCAGTGCCGTTGTAATTTGAACAGCCGCTAAGACCTGGCTGTTCCGGCAGGCCTGGGGCTGACGAGTTCCTGGCCCCACTTAAACTGTTGTGACTGTTGTTTTGTTTTTAATTTTGTTTGTCTTTTGTTCTGTTTGTATTCCCCTTCCCTTTGGTTTGTTAGCCGCCCTGAGTCCCTCGGGAATAGGGCGGAATACAAGTTGAATAAACTTGAACCTGCCTCATTTTGCTACCTTTCTTGCCTCGGTTGTTAAGTGACTCACTGCATTTGCTAAGTGAATCTGGCTTCCCATTGGCTTTCCTTCTGCTTGTCAGAAGGTTGCAAAAGGTGATCACATGATCACATGACCTTGGGACACAGCAATGGTCATAAATGTGAACCAGTTGCCAAGCATCTGAATTTGGATCACATATCATGTACAGTATATAGTACAGTGATGGCAAACCTTTTAGACACCGAGTGCCCAAACTGTGG